AGTGAAATGAACTGCCTCTGCCTTCGAAAGTTTCTGATTTGTGGGGTTACAAGTGATGATCTAATTATGAACCACAATGAATTAAGTTCGAAAGACTGTCATCCAGTGAATAGTGCTAATTCCCTGTGACATATATATGTATATATATATATATATATAATAAACAAATTAATATGCAGCGAATTCGATGCCTTAGTGTGATATATAGACTAACTGAATTCCCCCAGTTGACAGTATCTATTAAAGTCTGTCTTTAGTGTCTAATCTGAATTGCTCCAATTCTTGTTCTTCTATTCTCCTCCCTGATAGGCTCATCACTATCATTCTGTTCACCGCCAGGAAAATCCTGTTCAGTATATCGTCCATGTTGTGGTAGAGATTGGGTGTGTAATCGAGGAAGTTCTGCTGAAGGAACATGTGTTCAATGCGCTCAGTCGAATAGTCCATGTCAACATGCAAATGACTGTTGTCGAGGTGTATGCGTATACGGTACATGTAAGCTGATGGGATTTTTAAGTGAAGGTTGAAAAAAACAACTTATGATGCTTAGAGACAAAACAAAACAATACAAATCAAGAAATTTATTCACTTTTCTTACTGCTCAAATATGTATTTTTTGTTTTCTGTCTTCTCAACCAAAAAAAAAACAAACAAAAAACACACAAACAACAAAAACGATCATACTGATGGGTGATGGGAATTATTTTTTAAGAAAAATTTAAAAAAAAACTAAAAAAGAAATCACAAAAACAAACCCCTCATATCCATATTATATTTTATTATTATTATTAATTTATTAAATAAATTGGTATTTGGTGCAATTACTTCATTGATTTTTGTGATATGAGCTGGACAAAGTATAGCCAAGTTAGAAGACATTGGTCATTGAATTAGGTCCCAGTGTTTCAATGGTTAACCAGTTCACCTTGTAACCGGAGAACCCTGGGTTCAAAACCCTGTAGGTAAGTGTTAGTGAAGAGTCCTGAGTACTAGGATGGAACAGATGGCTGTCCAGTATTCCAGTACTGGATAACTTCAATATCAGTTTATTTATTTCGGTGTATTTTGGTGGAGTTGTGTTCTCTCAGGTGTATAGTTTTTATAAAATTATATTTGTAAAATCTCAGTGAAACTGAAATGATTAATTCCAACGTTCCCTCCGTTCGGCAATCTGGTCCAAACTTCTTCAGGGAAGTTAATCGAAATTAACATTACAGAGGTTTATATATAAAAGGAACAACTCTTGTTTTTGAAACTTTGTCCAATCATGAGTCATGCAACAGGCATCAACATGTATAATAAATAAACAAATAAATAAAATAGTATGTTTATATATAAAAGTACATCTCTTGTTTTAAATTGTTTGTCCTGTCATGTGAATCAAGAAACAGCTATCAATAGGTATAATAAACAAAACAAAACAAATTTTTTTATATGAACTGTGATCAAAATTTGACCTCAGACTTTTAAAATTAATCTACTTTTGTCAAAGTGTATGTGTATATGCAGTATCAATGGTGTGTGTGTATGTGTGTGTGTGAACAGTCACAAAACATTTGTTATTCTCATATGAGCTGTGATCCAGATTTGACCGGATGGTTACAAAATAATTGAGATTTTTTACAAATATAATATAATTTTATAAATTTGTTATTCTCTCCATAAGAAGACGTAGACAATCGAGAATTTGATCAAGTGTGACTAGTTGTTGATACGTATCCAATTTATTTATTAGTCAGGATTTGCCATGCATCAGCTAAGATCACACCTTCACGTCTGTTCAAACTGTTGGGATTCACCCACATATGTAGGGCTTCTGCAGTCAGTTTTTCTTTATATGAACCAAAACCTTTCTGTAAAACCTTAGTCTTATCAAAGTCGATTTTGTGTCCCGTTTCTATCGAGTGCAGTGCAATCGCTGAGTTGTTTTCTAGCTTCTTCAAGTCTGCAGAGGTCTTTGGAACCACCTTTAGACATTGTTTATGCTCTTTCACTCTTACATTTACCTGTCTGGAAGTTTCTCCTACATATACGGCGTTACAATCCCCACAATTGATCTGGTATACACAATTCTGCTGGTTTTCTTGTTCTATTTTATCCTTAACCTTAACCAGTAATGAGCGTAGGGTGTTTGATGCACGAAAATACACTCGTATGTTATGGTCGTTAAGGATTCGCTTTATTTCGTCGGATGTTTCTTTGTGGTAAATAATCACCGCTGTACTAACCCAATTCTTAGGATCAGGTTTTGATTCATCCTTATCTTCACATTTTAGATATCTATTTATGAAGGATTTTGGATAATTATTTGATTCAAGAGTGGATTGAACCAATTTTAATTCCTTGCTAATATCTTCCTCCTCAGTAACTAGACGTTTGGCTCTGTTAATCAAATTCTTGGCCACAGTTACTTTGGTGGTAAATGGGTGAGCTGAATAGTAATCTAGGTATCTATCCGAATTTGTCGGCTTTCTGAAAATGTTTATTTTTGCAACTATCCGGTCAAATCTTGATCACAGTTCATATGAATGTAAAGTTATTACTTGTGAAGCTTTAACTGTCTAACTAGAGAGATAAAATGGGACGTTTTATGTGATCACTCATATCACAACTGATTGCAGAGGCTTTTAAATAGAGGCTTGAAAATATAAACCTACCAAGGGGTGGACCTATAAATTTGAATACTTTACGTGAATGATACATTCTGTCTGTTAACATTCATGATAATCAGAGAAAACGACTTAGATAAAACTCACAACAGCATGAATGACAACAAATTCACAAGAGAAGAGGAATTCAAGGACCAAAATTCCATTTTTAAACGTCTGAGTCAAACGAAAAAACTGCAGGAAAATTGAAAAAAATTAAGTATACACAGAAAATCAAGCTAAAGAGATCAAATAATCAATTACAATAGCAACAACCCTACGGAGCACAAAAATAGTGGCATGCAAACATTATTCACAAGAGATATGACGCATCACTGAACTCCGACCTTGAAGAAAATGGACGAAAAATATCTTATGGTGGTCTCCTAGAAAAATGGATATCCGCGATACTTTATAAAAAGATATCACTGTTTACCAATGTATCACTTATGGAGACTGTGGAATTCATATGCCAACGGATACTAGAAAAAACGATTCGACATCGGAATTCCAGTTATTAGTCTGAAAGAGCTGTTTCTAAGAGGTACTATGAATGTACACTTCACATTTAACAACCTTTATTACAGAGAAATCGACAGTATTGTCATTGGTTCTCTCTTGGGTCCAATTTTGGCAGATTTCTTTCTTGCTAAGCTTGGCAATGGTCCACTAAAACAAGTAATAGATAAAATGGATTCTTATTTTCGTTATGTTGATCATACGTTTATTATTCCTAATGTGAAAGCTGACAAGAATGAGGAGTTAATAAAATTTAATGACACAGATCCATCGCTCATCTTTACTTGTGAAGAAGAACATGATGGTAGACCACACTTCCTAATTGAGTAGAAAAGAGGATGCCTCAGTGAAGAAAACTGTCTATAGAAAACCTACGTCTGTAGAACAATATACATACCTCTTCATTTTTGTACCAATCCGATAATGAATCAGTTTGGTCAGATGCCTCAAGAATAGAGCAAGATGGTTCTGTACAGATGACTCCTTAGAAAATGAATAAGGATGCATCCAAAATGCGCCGGTACAACTGTGTTATCCTAGTAGATTTGTTAGGAGACACAATAGAAATTGGCAACAGTTAAAAAGAAACGATAGTTCATAAAACTGCAATTCAAATGGGACGTAGCTGGTGAAGTCCTACATCTAAGATCACCTAGAGTAATAAAAGACGCTCTTATACTGCCGTCATCCTTTGTTTGTCACTTTCCAGCGTACTGATGAAGAGTCCCAAACTAGGGCGAAACAGCTGTCCAGTACTCCCAGGTTTTCCAATGGTTCTCTAACTAATGTCTGCTCATGATGAAATCCTGTAACCAATCAACCAAATCCCTACAAACCAACACTTGAAGTACAATTAAGATTGGTCAAGCGAAAGACCAGCTACCCAGTTGTGCCACTCCACGAATTTAGCTACTCAAGCGGAGAAGGCTGGCTATATAGAGCGAACAACTGGACAGCGCAATGAACATATTACTCAGCATCCTCCTTCATGATTTGTGTAATAGATTACCAAAGGCCAAGATCTCCTATCAGACCAATAGCTGATTTTTTGAGATACACCCTTCCCCAATACGAATTGTGAGTTGTCAAAATATTTACCTGAGATATGAGGTTCAACTTATCAGTAGACCACAGATTCTCATGATACTGCCTACATCAAATATGACTTCGTTATTTTTTGTAATTAATCAACTCGAGTCCAAATCATTCATCTAGTCAGCTGGATTTAATAAATAAAAAAAGAAGAAAGACCGAAACAAAACTCAAGTCAACTTATTCAGGTTAATATCTATATTGTTGAAAAAATAACATAAAAAATGGCTGCACCGTTTACACAAAATTGCAGAAAAATTGTTTTTACGGATAACGTTTCGACACATAGACTAGACAGCATACAACAACAATCAAGGTTACACTATTGGAAAAAACATTAAGCGACATAGAAAGCGAATAAGAAAAAAAGACGCAACAGCAAAAGGCAGGAGCAGCAGTGACAACCACTCAGTATCTATAACCAAAAAATATCATTATATATAATACTCTGCTTAACAGTTATGCATATAATATGCATGAAACCGGGATTAGGTAAATTGAGCACATTGTATAGGACTGCTGATAGATATTTCACTTAGAGACAAGAACAAAAAGTGTTCAAAAAACTCTACAAAAAGATTTTATGCAAAAATAACAGTAATAATTTTAAAAAAAATGGCAACAGTATTACAAAAATAGATGCCACTGGAAATGTTTTTCTCTCTATAGATCTATATATTTCAAAGAGATTGAACCCTGATATAGTTGGCAGCCAATTCTACTGCTTGCTGAACATCTCAGTTAGTGTTTTCTTGCTTTATTCTTTCGGTCTTTCGTGGTTCTCGTTGTTGCTGCCTGTTCTGGAAAACAAATAAGAAAAGAGCCCACAAATTCAGAAGATCAAAATAATGTACATGGTTTAAGAGTATGTATAAGCCATTTATTGGATAATAGTGATTCAATGTACAGTCAACAATATCGTTTTGTTTTTCATTCATTGGGAAATACAAAAACCTTTATTATAATGAATATCATATACCCAATGCCCAAATTTTTTCAAACCGTTAAAAGTCAACTTGGTTTGGACATATGTACAGTCAACAAGTTGAAGATGCTCAGATTGGTATGTTTATGTAAAATAATCGCGTTTATATGGTTGAAATCGAATTTAGCCACTCAACTTTAGTAAACTGAATAGTTTTCTGTTCAACATTAGCCAATACTCTTACGTTGTATCCCTTAACTAAATGTCAGACAGTTAATTTCATCTTCATTCATAATAGTGATCTTAATGAACTCAATAGCACATACGATGCTTGTAGCTAAGAGGGCACTAATATAGAGAATAAGTCAAGCATAAAATATCACTGGAATAGTTCTATCCTTTGATAATTTTTGGTCATCCCATATCTTGTCTATCCCCAAGGAAAATGTTATGTCTAACCGTCTACCACATTTATACAAGTTAAGGAAATCAGGAATCACTCAACATTTACTTTGACAGTTTATTAACTCTTGAATCTTACCTATTGTTCTTCATTGCTCTCCTCTGAGTCTCTTCTGAGCTACCGAGAAAGGATTATGTCATATTGAGAAGGGTAATAACTGTTGCCAATAGGGTAATTTGTGCACCACTAAGTTGGTCAGCTCGTTACTATCCTAGTTGACAGACACCTGAACAACTCATGTGAGAAATGGTCTAAATCCATATTGTCAGACTGTCAACACCCACCCACCCTCTCTCTATTCACAACTCTCCCCACCTTTCTTCTCATTTGGTAGTACTGCAAGTCAGTATAAAAGATTATCTGCTCTCCCTACCAAGTATAGAAACTTAACGATGCCCTATTCGACCCACCCGACTGACCTCATTCTATGTGATGAAGATAGTGTTAAAAGTGAAACTAACGACTTACTGTGTAATTAGCATAAAAATAGCTCAGTTATTCTCCCATACTTGTAATCTTATGATGACATTATTCCCTTTGACCTAAACCCAACTCGTCGTTTCCTATTTGGCTTTCACTTGAGTGATGGTCTGGCGAGCACTGTCACCCAATGGTCTCCTCAACGTGTGTCTGAAACATCTCCATTTTCTCCTACATATTTGTTGAGCAACAGGTTCTTGATTGGTTCGGTTCTAGAATTTCTTGTTGCTAATCCTTTCCCACTGACCATTCGATCTTCACTATGGAGACTGCGAAGTTAGCTGTTGACTAAAGTTTCCAGTTGCCTATTGGAAATGCTTTTCGTGACGCACATATCAAGTCCCTGGCCCATATAGAAGAACTGACTGACTTAACGTTTGTGTTGAAAATTCAAATCTTCTTCTTTAAAGTGTGGATTGCGGAAGATTCCCAAACTCACTACAGAGTGATGTAGGTCTGTTTCGCCGTTCCTATCCAAACTGGTTTTGACATCCGCATACGTGATGTCGCCTGTAGTTGAAACAATGCTTCCCAACTAGGTGAATGACCGATAGCTGCTACCTTGACGTGATGGTCGGGCTTGCACATCACGATGACCCAACAAGCTACACTGGCTGGAACCAATGTTCCTGCAGGTCCTACCATGCCAGGAAGGTTGTTAGGATAGTAATTAGACTAAAAGCAGTTACCGGCATAGTGTAGGAATCTTTCTTACACTATGCTGGGGGGGGGGGCTGTGGGCGAAGTCGTACTGCTGGGCAACAGGGATGTAACAGCAGCGAGGAATTTCCCTCAGATGACCAGCATGCTGTCTCTCCACTCTGGAGGGAGAGGGTTAAAAACGTCGACAAATTGTACATCCCAACTTACCCTACGGTAGTCCTTAACCGGTGGTAAGTTTACTAATACGGAACCAATCCCAGAAACCAGTTCACACAGGCAGTGTGTGACCGGCCACAAGCAGTTGTCCCTTGGGCTCTGCAGTCACAGAACACCAACCCTCTTTCTGTTTCAGGTACCCAAAGAATCAACCAACGTCCACGGTGTGGGCAGCCAGGAAGTAACCACCACCCACACACTTTCAAAAGCACATGAAGCCTTCCTGAGACAGGTGGATGAAACGGCCTTTTTCAAATCTATCCCACTGATAGTAATTAATGCTTGTTGTTGATTATCTTCTTGACCTCCATCTTCTCTATGTCTACGTGAGGTTCTGCCTTCACTGCTTCTTCTGTCAGTTTGTTGGTTTACGTCCATTAAGTCTTTGAGTTAGTGTGACGTTAGACATAAATCATCTGCGAAATTCAGATTTCACCTAGTTTACTAGCTCGCTAGTTTTCTAGCAGGTCACAAACTTGGAGAAAGAGGGAGGGTTGGGTGTGGGACTAGTGACCCTGACTCGGAAAATCAATCAAACTGCTACAGAAACTTAAATACACAAGAAAGTTATAAAAAATATTATTATTGTTCCCTTGGGTTCCTAGTGGAACATAGGGGCTTCAACTGCACGCCTCCACTTGCTTCTGTCTTCTGCTGTACTTTTCCCTTGCATCCATGTTAATCCATACTGTTTCAGTTCCTCTTCACACTATCTCCTCCATGTCACCCTTGGACGTCCCACTCGTCGCCTCCCTTTCGGGTTCCACTCGAGGGCCTGACGCGCAATATCATCCAACGGCCTACTCAGCGAGTGTCCAATCCATCTCCACTTCCTCCTGCATATTTGTTGAGCGATTGGTTCCTGTTTTTTTTGTTCCCATAGCTTCTTGTTTGTGATTCTTTCTGGCCATCTGATCTTCAGTATAGAACGAAGACAGTTGTTGATAAAGGTCTGCAACCTGTTGGAAATGTTCTTTGTGACCCGCCTAGATTACTAGGTAACTAGTATTCTAGCCGGTCCCAAGCCCGGATAAAGAGGGAGGGTTGGGGCGTGGTGCTAGCAACTCCACCCCTAAAACTTAACCAAGTTGCTACAAAAACTTCAACGCATAAATAAAAAATTATAAATCCTACAAATAACACTGTTACAATTACATACGGCCAGTCTGAATGTATTATAATGCCATAAAAATGCATATACCAAAAGATTTGGACTGCAGTGTACCCAACACGGCAGCATCATATTAAGTGGTGTAATCCTGGAGCGGCTCAGTAGAACTCTGAATGTGAAATTCCGCTCTTTTAAACAAGCTGCATTCCAGAAGAGCATATCATGTGACGATCATCATAGAATACAATGGTGGTCAAATCTTCACCTGAGCTTCATCGATTGTAAAAAGGCCTTCGAAAGTGTTAATTGTGAAGTAATTCAGAAAATGATTCAAAACCACGGAGTGCCCCAATCCTTTATTTAGTGCTATGTGACATTGCCACGTGTCAAGTGACTCATAATGGAAAACTCATCGAGGCTTTTGAAGTGAAAACAGGATGGAGTAAGACAAGTCTGTTTGATGGCACTGGTGATATTTCTAGCTGTAGTGGACCAGATCATCCTCTAGACAATGTGCATCAAGAAGAAGATAAGAAGAATTTAGGTGATTTGAACTTCATAGATGTTTTATTTCTAATATCACGCAATCTCGAAGACCTACAGACAAAAGGCAATAAGTCAGGAGAAGAAACAGGTGGCGAGTCCAGGACCTGAAGTGAACATAGCGAAGACAGAGGTGATGAAGATGCCAACAACAGGCACAAAACAATAACAACAAGAGGAATTTGAAGGAAGCCACGTTTTTCACTTAATCAGGTAACATCGTTTCAACTTCAGGTAGCAGAAAAGACGATGTTAAAGGCAGGATCAGATAGGAAAGGCCTACAATAATTTAAAATCAATGTGGAAATTTACTGTGCCAAGCATAAATAACAACATTCAGATTTCCAACACTAATTTCAAGTCTTTCAATTCTTCTGTGCGGTTCAGAGGATTGGCACACACGTCACCAAAGGCGTTTGAAGCAAGCTACAAATTCTTATCAACAGATGAAGGTCAGGTGATCGGCCAGAAAGAATCAGTAAGAAGAAACTCCGGGAACGAATCAATCAAGAGCCTATTGTTCAACAAATATTTCGATAAAATGAAGATTGATCAGACACGCACTGAGAAAACCATTGGGTGACATCGAGCGCCAGGCCATTACTCAAGTGAACCCCGAAATTGGATGCAACGAGTTGGGAGTAGGTCAGAGGGTGACATGGTGGCGATCGTGTGAGAAGGAAATGAGAGCTCATAGATGAAACGAACATGTGCTGTTATAGGCCTATGTCTTCCTCGCAACTTAAGGGAATAATGCAGTGATATGAACTTGTTGGGACGACCTGTTTACAAACACGCCTACGCAAAGTGAGAAGGCGGTTCAGGCAGACAAAATACTAGTCACCGCATGTCATCTTCAAATAATTCAACTATGTAATAAGAGCTTATAGCAGCTGTCCGACTGGCACTTTTAGTATCACAGCATCTTCATGAATAGTCTTCTGGCCAACCCTGCTGAAAAAGAATCAACAGATAATACCCATAGCGCAATGCCTGTGGGTATGCTACAGAGTGAATCAACACCACACCCTTGAACATAGTCATCTTTTGATTAAATCCTATACACTTACCATTTGAAGACTGCTCACATGTTGAAGAGGTATCACTGACATCAATCATAGCTTGATCAATTAAACTTGGTACTTGTTCTTGTGCATCTTTGACTTCCTTATTCATCAATGGAGTTGACGTAATGGGGAATTCCTTCTTAGAAACAGTAGGCGATTTACCATGAGAATTACTTCCTCGTATCGGAGTGACTTCAATGAATCCTAAAGTATTTTCTTTCTTTGAAGCAGAGGTTGTGGATGTGCGACCTATAAGTGATGTGTTCAATGATGAATTGGCTTTGGGTGCAGCAGAACCAAGACGATTTCTCTTATGGACGACTAGGTTTCAGGAAGAAAGTAATACACAGAGAAATGAAACATCGGAAAAATTTATTCTGTGTGAAGTTGAAACAAAACACAAGAGTAAACAATTGGTGACCTACAGATGATTTTACAATATCCAGGAGCATAACAATCATTGAATGGGGTGTTTCATTAATTCCATTTCAGGACTTTAAGAGTCGTGAACTTCAACTTGAAAGGTTCTTTTTTCCATACTATTAAAACCAGCAACAAATGGTGATGAATTCACCAAATCTCGGTAGAATTTTCCCAGTTATTACTGTTCATACCTTGTTATGCACAATATGAAATATAAGTTTATATTATTCCATTATGAGCTGACGTCTGTTAGAGAACCATAGGAAATCCATCAAGGAGTGCTGGACAGCAGTTCCTACTGTCGTACTTTGGGACACTTCAGAAGTACGCACCCACCAACGTGAGTCTAACTCAGGACCTTCCGGTTACAAGTCAAGCTCGTAGACCGTTGAGGGGCCACTAGGATCCTGTCTAATGACCAGCGCATGAATTCCAACTTCTGAGAATTCACCCGCGACATAGCGCGACTAGTTCTAGCCAGTGTCATCATCAGCGAGAATTCTCCTCACACCAGACACGCCGTACTGTATTCCACTGTTCACAACTTTCCATTAGAACCCAGATGGCTACCTACCCGAACAGGGCTAGTTTCTAGTGAGCATCACATTGATATTCAAAGTTCGGTTTGCAAGCGTTTGATTGGCTACTGGATTTCATCATGACCTGACATCGATTGCCGAACCACTGGAAGACCTAGTGGTTGTACTGTATAGTGAATAGGAAGAAGCTGGAATTCATGGGCTGGCCACTGGATCGGGTCCCAGTGGCCGCTTAATGGTCTACGAGCTCGCCTTGGAACCAGAAGTTCCTGGGTTTGAAACCTGTTGGGTCATGAGTGTAGTAAAGCAGTGAATAGGTCATGAAACAGCATGATATATGCATTTATTTACAGAAATCGGTTTGGACTATGGCTGAAGACTCCAATAAGAAATCGGGAGGTTTCTTTTGGGATACATACGAGAAAGTTACCCAGTGTAACTATTTTTTTTTAACACAAACTTTAATATCTATAAAAGAGCGTTTTAAACTACGCATATTTACTACAGGGTCATCTGACTGACTGATCAGAGTCAATCACATCCGTTTACATGAATCGTTCACTTAGGTCGCTATAGTTTGTAGCTACCAGAAAGCTCAACTACCGACTGTAAGTCAAGTGATTAAGCCAAATGGATTAAATTTTCATCATTACAAAAGTAGTTATCAATGGAACAGTTATCTACACAAACATATACTGACTGCTTTGATTGAACACTAGTTATTAGCTAGTGTGACGTTTGTGGTCCTTTGAACCGACAAGCACAAAACCCACGTCAAGCAAGGCTTCCTGCCGATCGCCCCAAAACATCTGATGTCAACAATTCACAGTGCAGTGCATCGTGATGGCTAGTCACCTAGCATGGTGGCAATATTGTTATTAACTAGTGTCCAATCACAGTAAAAAATACAGACCTACAGGAGGTCAGTGGCTAGCTCGAATAGCTGCTTACTGGTAACGTCTCAGACTGCAGCGCTCACTGGGTGACCTGGGTTCGAATCTTAGAAAGGACATGAGTTCCTTCAAGGTTGCAGATACGCTTTTCTGACTGGTGAGTACCAACTAACACGAAACCTAGAGTTAGCCAAAGATTCCTGCCTGTTGCCTCCAACCACCTAATATCAACAATATACTGACTGCTTCAGCTCAAGCGATATATCAAATTAATCAAATAATTCTAAATCCCTTGCAGTTTAATTATTGTAACACAGAGTGGGAATACACAATTTTGAAGTGATATAATACTATTTACTTCAAGTTTAACCGCGAAGATCCAATAGAAACCAGTACTGGAGCATTGGACGGCTGTTTCCTTCTAGTACTTGGGACCCTTCAGTAGCAAGTAACCACAGAGTTTAGAACCCAGGGGCTTCTGGTTATGAGGCAAACTCATAGATCATTCAGCGACTGCTACTCGACTCATTGGACGGCCATGGTGGTCACGCTAAGATCACGAATCCGTGGGGGGTGAGAGTTCATGGGCTAAAGAGTCATTCTGAAGAATCGTAAACTAGGATGAAACAATTGTTCAATATGGATTAGTTTTCTTTTTCACCTTCAGGTATAACTGGAATATTTAGTCAGTATCTGGTTTCACAGGTTACAGCTGTCTATGTGGAATATTTTTGCATGTTGATGGAAGGTGTCACAGACTTAAAGGTATCAAAATGGCGCTTATAGTTTGACTTTTGTCTACACAATCTTTGGAAGTATATGATTGTTTGATTTTTCCATTTTCAAAACCACACTGCGATTACTTATAAATAATGTGTAATGTAATGCTACATAGTGAGAAAATACCGGTGAATAAAAAGGGATTAAGTAAAATAAAATCTACAAAATCTACTGCTTACTTCTGCATGGATCACGAGTGTCTAAGAATTCGCTCAACTTCATCCATCCACCGCCTACCCGTACCATAGTGGTACTGTTAAGGAAACGGACTAAGTAGACTTTCGAACTAGGTCCAAACTGCAAGAAATGGAAGAAAGAAGGGAGATATGAGCAGAGTTTTATTAGTGAACAGTGATGTGCTTCAAATGGATCTCATCAGGCCTTAACTTTAGTATATTTATACAATTTTACAAATAAATATTAAAATATATAAACCAATCACGGTTACTTTGTCAACAGGATGATGAGATTGTGCATATCACTTGTGCAACTAGTCATAATGACAATCATGATACTATCAATAAGAAAGATGAAAAAGTGAGAGGATCTGTGATAACAATAGTAACGAAAAACAGCATGATTAAACAAACAAATGTCCAGGTGGATGTAGTAGTCAATAAAGGCTAAGAAAAACAGATGGGACTGATTGAGTATTGCCAGGTTGTCATGGAAGTAAATAAAATATGTTTTAATGAAGGTGTGATAAGAAAGGGGTTGGGAATATAAGTAAGGGGTGGTGGTGGTGGTGGTGATACCATCAGTTGGTTTACTCTCAATTGTCTGAGGAAGGGATAATGGCTGTAGCAATTTCTTTTGAACTCATAGTCAAGGCTTACTGACTCGAATGCAAATCGCCTAAACTATGCACAGTAGACGAATACAAAGTCCACAAGGAAGATTCGGTGGGATGAGATGAATCTCATCTTGAAAGCTTTCTTTCTATCCATTAAATAACCATTATCAACTAAATGTGACAAAATGGAGCTGCGGGTGAATTTTATCTGTTTTTCGCCAAACCACGATGAAGGATGTTCGGTAACACGTTCGCTCAGCTGTCTAGTAGTAAGCCTGACATAACTGTCACCACAGGACCAGGTGAGTTGATTAATGCATACAGATGTGGCGAAACTAACTAGCTTATCCTTCTTCTGAGTCCCAGTCATCATTCATCGAGTAGAGAATGACAAACGCAGGTTTACTGTATAAAATGTTCTTCGTGTACTCCTCGAAAGTTTATGGGACAGAATCTCACCTGAAAAGAAAAAATTAAATAGAGGCATTGTCGTCACAGATTTTCTATCTGATGCTTTCATATATTTCTTAATGAATCTACTTAGATAGCCTATCTCTATCAAGGAAACATGAATGTATTCAAATTCCCTCTGTAAGTGATCGTCCCTACATATCTTTCTCACTCTGCCCGTAAGACACTTAACATTATTTCTTTTATATTTAATGAGCACGTAACTAAGGAAGAGTAAGCATTGTCTTGTGAATGTGCTGTTTTCTATACACATCTCTGTTGAGTGACCCATCTTCTCGCCTTCTTAGCAAGACATCTAGAAAACACAGTGTATTATCTATCCTATTGCTCTTCACAAGTAAAAGTAATCGAAAGGCGAATTTTATTAATTTCATTTACCCTTCATCTATTTTTACATTCTCATTCACTTAGATAAATGTGTCATCGACATAATGGTAACACACATCCAATTGAGTGATGAAATCTTTCAGTCTCTAAGTCTTGGAAGTTTTGAAAGGAAGAAGTCTGATAAAATCGGGCTTATGGTGAAGACATAGCAATTCCATATACTTGTCGGTAATATCGGTTACTGAAGGCACCTTGTTTACATTCATTGTCCATCAAAAGAGTAATAGTTATTTGAAGCGAGACAGAGGAATTTCCAAGTCCACTTGCCTTTCAATGATTTTTCGGCATACATAGTCCACGTTTTTGAACAGGTGTTACATTCGTAAATAGTGGTGATACATTCATGGATAACATAAGTTTGTCACTAATATTAGTCTCAGATATTTTCGAGATGAAGCCAAAGACATCACTAATTCTACATCGCACGTTTTCTTTGTACAAATGTCCAAGAATTCAATTCTCACTGCTTCCTAGATGGGTCAGAAATTTGACTCATGCGTCACGAAAGGCATTTTAACAGGTAGAAGACTTTCATAAACAACTGTCTTTCTGGTTCCATATTAAAGTTCAAATGACCAGAAGGAATCAGCAACACGAAACTAAGGGAACAAACGGACCAAGAGCCAATCGCTCAACAAATATGTAGGAGAAAATGTAGATGGATTGGGCATACGCTGAGGCAATCGTTAAACGACATGGCCGGCCAGACAATTAGTCCGAGTGGAAACCCAAAGTAGGAAACGATGAGTGAGGCATCCAAGGGTAACATTGAGAAGATAAGAGATCGTGGGCAATCGTGGAGCCAGCTAAAGAGAGGACTATAGAAAATAGAACAAACTGGAGACGTACTGTTGAAGCATGATGTTTCACTCGGAACCCAAGGGAACAATTATAACAGTAATACTCTATAATATTATCTTTTGTTTTTTGCTGTGCTAAATACCGAGAATCCACGCCGTATCGTAAGCACCATTTTAGAATAAAGCGAATTATTATTAAGACATCATTTCTTGCAAAATACTAAAGGTTTACAGAAAAGATATACTCATACTAGTGTGTGTGTGTGTAATAGTAGTAGTCTACCCAGCTACAGGTCGTATCTGTGCACCAAGTCTTTCGAGTAAAAAAATTGATGAAAATGTGGAAAGTACTTTGGTGGAAGGTGACTAACAGTGGAATCCACCATGATGTGCATTCCATCCGTTCCACAGGAAGGGCTCTTTTGACTCAAGTAGTCTGTCAAGTGGATAACGCTTTGGCGTTTGAAATTATAGCCATCGGGTCCGAGTCTCAGTGGGATTACCATCAATGACTCATTGGGGAATCCAGGTAAATCCAGCTGACCACAATTCCCAGATAAGATGAAATGAGCATCCTGATGGATTCCATCGCTGGTCAGTCACCATCCAGCAAACTACTTCAGGTTAAATTCTTAGACATTGTCGAAGCATCCACACAAATAGCCGACATATCAACCTGAGGCCGAGCACTTCGGTCCATTCAATCAATCAGAATTGATTCCAAATTGAATTATATAATAAAAAAAGGGAAAGTATTATGTAAGTAAAACAACAACAGAAAATTTCCCACTTACACAATATTTATCTGTTCCAACCTTTTTAGATTGAAATTTTATTTGGCACATACATTTACTGGTTTCTTGTTCTATTGCACGTGCAATTAACTCATCATTTGGCAGATGTTGTTGTTTTGTTGCTTGTTCATGTTGTTGTGGTTGTTGCTGTTGTTGTTGCTAAAATGTGTTAGAGAGAGAGAGAGGAAGGAAAGCTTTTAAACAAGTAGATTAACTAAGCTGATTTTTCTTTTCACACTCCACTGATTATTCTAAAGGCGAAATGAATTATTGTACATGTTTAACTGTATGCATAATGACCTTCATAATGACCCTTGATTTTATAACAATCAACTATCCCCTTTTTTATACTGTAGTTCAAGTGAGAATTGCCTCAACACTACAGAGTTCCTGGAATATTTTTATAAGCCTCATTCAGCCACTGTATGATGATGATGATACCACATATCAGATGATTCACAATGGAGAAATCAATGAGGCCTTTAAAGTGAAGACACTTCGGCTTACTATCACGTATGATACCCCTGATTATGTTCGACTGGATCAAGTAGGAGACCGTGGGAAGCGAGAAGACGAGGATATGTCTGATCGACGAAATGACACTGAAAGATATGGACTTTGCAGGTGATTAAACAAAGAACACCGATGGCACATGAGACGACCGACTTACTACCCAACATATATACAGGAGAGAATGGAAACTTACTTCATGGACGTCTTCCAAAAGAATGGATACCTATGGAACTTCATTAAAAGACATATGCCTCAAGCCAACCTATCAAATCAAAGGCCTCCAAGGAAAGCACAAAGAAAATCGCCCTACCACACATTAAAGACATCTCAGAAATCACCGCAAGTCTCTTCAGACCCTGAGAAATTGATGTCGCACACAAACTAACAAAATCACTTTACTCAGCCAGCCAGCTGTGTGTCAGCCAAAAGGCTCAACAACGAAAGAAGATAAAGCCAACACCATCTACAAAATAAATTAAAACAACTGTGAAAATCAATACATTGGCCTAAGTGGACGTCCCTTCGTCTTCGTATGGATGAACATTAACTAGCCGTCAAAAGACATGACATCCACTCCCTTGTTCATATCACTGCATACAGACAACCAGGGACATCAGTTCGACTAAAGCAACCAAAGTCCAAACATTAGACAGAAAAAACACCAAGAATGCTCGAGAATCTTCAGAAGCCCGCCTGGTATTCCAATGAATCGTCAATCAATAGACACATCTAGATAGACAAAATTTACCAACCGATACGAAGGAAATCTCAAACACATATAGTCAAAGTTCATCTCAAGGAAACAATCAGTTCCAATACAAGTAGCCTAGAAGGTATGAAAACACACAGAAACAACCAATCACTTTCAGAGTCATCAGGAGAGATGACTAATAAACTCGTGGAGAATGCTAAAAGCTCACTTCTAATGGAAGTAGGCATGATGAAGATGTTGCCTAGTAAGGAAATGAAAGCTTCGCAAATAAACTATCCAGCTCAGAGAACACAACCACATCAAAAAGAAGCCGGTTAAACTTCATAGCAGAGAAGCGATTGCAATGGAGATAGGCCCAAGAGGCTGTTTGTTCCATCCTTAAAGAATGATCAATAGTATAAACTTTCTGTATTTCTTTACGTTCCAAGTGGAACATAGGGCTTCAAGCTTGAGCTTTAAAGGAATCAAGACGAGATTAGTGCTTAAAGCATCTAGTCTAATCACAACTGAACATCAATATGACATCTCGAAGTTCACTGGTTTATCGTCGTCTGCACTAATCCTCAGTTTATAACTTCGATTGACTAGTAGACTTCATTAATCTCGGGATCAAGAGAAAACACCGATAGTGAGTTATTCCCAAGAAATAAATAACGCGAATTCTGTAGGCGTAATGCAACATTCATCTTGTTTTGGTCATTTCACTACATGAAGATGTCAATGTCCCCATCGTCTGGTAAATTTAAAACAGCTTCTTTAGTAAGAGTACATGTATTACTGGTGAATAATATGTCAGAAAACATATACATAGACTCGATGAAACTCAAGGTTCCCTAAAAAACACGTAAAACAACTTCTAACAGTTATTGATGTATACGGCATCTTACACAGCTACTTGTGTAATTTACGGGTAAATAGATAAAAAATATCACCTATTCCTTGAGTATGATGAAATATGACTAATTTTCATTACCCTCATAGGTCTTAAATCGCTTCTGGTTATCAGTATTAAGTGGGATGATATTGAGACAAGAATTTTACGAAACTGATTGAATTTAGAAGTTGACTTGTAGCCTGTGAGTTTCAGGTTCGTATTCGACTTCACGTAATTCAACTTGATAGATCGACTATCAGGATCACACCACATATCATGAATGCCTCTTGTAATTTATTCAGAATCAAAAATAATTGGAGCAAACAGTTGTTTTCAATAAACTCTCCTTCTTCAGACTCTATGATTATAAATCCATTAGTTTTAGCATACAATACTGCCAATAAAGTCAACTTAGTACTGTATCAGAAAGTGTATTATATGTGGTACAATTGCTAGATGAAGTGATAATCAACTGGTTCTGGTGATCATTTAGAATATGAATGGTCAATAAGATCATGAGATAAAATGAGATGAAATAATTCAGTGATGTAGCACAATTTTTCAATAAAACCAGATCAGGCGTTCTCAGTTATTCACTGCCTTTCTAGTAATCTGTTTAGAGGAGCTCGACTACGTCTTCTATCAGTAGATGAAGCGGTAGCAGTCAATACCAGAAGATCAGCTCTTTGTATACAGAAGAAATATGTCCAGCTGCTACGTTTATATTGGCCTACAATAAGGCCAACAAATCCTCCATAGACATTAGCACTTTAAATTCATCCTCACGTCGGGCTCACCAGTTTAGAGGCTGAGGCTGTTGACGTTCATGGATAGTACGAAGTATACTAACTCGGGATCTAATACCCACAACTTCATTCCACGTTGAACAAAGGCAAAGCAAACAACCAGAATTCATCGGCCAAATTATGAATTATATTTCTAGACCGAATCGGAGTGCTAGATGATTGCTTAACTAACTAGGGATCGTGCACGAACGAAAGAACGAATGTAACACGATGGCGTGCCAAATGGCGTGGATGCTTAACCTAAAGCCTTCAGCTAAACAAATCGACTAAAACAGTGAGGGTCAGTATCCAATGTTCAGTGATGAGTGCTGTGGCCAATAATTCTGGGGAATTACCTACTGCTACACTTTGTTTCATTGACAAACGTTCATCTCTAACCTTTTACGACTTAATGACCTTTCTTATGATTTCTATTCCCTTAGGTTTACGTAGTGTTTTTTCAAACATGTCAGGTTCGTTTCACTTCACTAAATTCATCATTATTATTTGATAATCATTCACCAATAGTACTTTTAAGTTTACACCACACCATTGTTATTATTTCATCATCGTCATTATTATTGTCGTTACTTTCACCTTTGACCTGACGTCTAGTCTATCCCATTTGTCCGTTTATTTCTCTGTGGTATTCACATCGCCTCTCCCACACATCACTGATGATTACACTCACCCATGGAACCTGTACTTTTGTCGACTACAAACATACATATATACACACACCATTGAATTATTTCATCTCATTTTATCTCATGTGCGTCGGTGGCATAGCAGTTAGGACGCTCGCCAACCATGCACATGGTCTGGGGTTCGATCCCCGGCTGACGCACTCCTTTACCTCGCTAAGCCAGAAATAATGCCGGTGAAGAGGAAAGGTTGGGCATGAGGCTAGCAACCCCATCCTGTAAAATAAACACTGCTGCAGAAACTTCAAGCCACTAGCTTGAAGCCCTATGTTCCACTGGGGAACGCAAAGGAAAAAAAATTTTATCTCATGGTCTGATTGACCATGCATATTCTAAATGATCATCAAAACTAAGTGACTATTACTCCATTTTGTACTTGTACCACACAAATTACACTTCCCCATTTAATCCTAATTTGACTTTATTAACAGTACTGTAGGCTAATATGAATGGACTTATAGTTATAGAGCCTAAATAAAGAGAATTTATTGAAAACAATTGATCTCTCTAATTACTTTTGCTTTCCCCAACCTGACATATAAAAAATATATTTCAATAAACTGAATTCTAATATCAAAATATTAATTAAGTAATTAAAGATGGCAAGATAATACAACATTAATGTTGTTAGATGGTTGAAGGCAGTTGGCAGGAAGCCCTACCTATCTGATCTAGGTGTTGGTTGCTTGCTGGCATTCATCAGTAAACATCAAGTCGTATCTGCAAATTTTTCAGGGGACTCATCGGCACTCTGAGATTCGAACTCATGTCATCCAGTGCTGCAGTCATATTGCAGATACGTTTTGCTGACTGACTAGACAATGCCAACAAGCAAAAAACCCTGGGTCAGTCAGAACTTCCTGCCGATTGCCACCCAACCAATCTACCAACAACATTTCTGAATGCATTGTGATGGTGAGCCGCCTAGCACATGTTGGCCACACATTACAAAAACTTAGCTGATGATAGAATTCAATCTGTAATAAACATCAAGACATTAGTTAGTGTCCAATTAAAGAGTTCATTAATGTATGTACTTTATCAACAAAGCAAATTGTAACAATCACCTGTTTCTTAGCAGTCAGAGCTTCAATAATTTGTTCATGTGTTATCCTGCCCTTTTTCGTCTTATCAATGGTATTAAATACGGCTCTGATACACAGAGGATTTGCCCAGTCATATTTAGGTCGACTATGTTGTTGCTGTTGCTGGTGTTGTTGTTGTCGTCGTCGTAGGAGTAAAACTTCACTAAACTCTGAATAATTTAATTCAGGTGATTTTGAAATATTCGCGGTTTGTTTACCCTTTGCAATTGCACATGTTTTATTCGAATCAGCGACAACACCGACGACAACATCATTACTGCAGAGATTTAAAGATTCACTGCTGGATTTTTTCCCAAGTGATTTGATGCTTTTAGTAGTAGGCGTAGGAGGTGAGCTATGCTTTGGAGAACTGTTAGTCGACTGTGTGGATGACGAGACAGTAGACACTTTTCTTGGAGTCAATGATGTTGAAGATGTTGGAGAAAGATGTAAATGAGGCTTTGATTTCTGTTGATCAGCTTGAATGGTATCATTATTGGCAGTAACAGTGGGAAATATATCAGCCAGACGATAGTGACAACTTTCAATCCACTGTAGATAATTCCTTCTCCATTCGTCGAAGTCGAAATCAGTCAAGACGGTACACTATAAGGAAGTAGAGGAGAAGGGAAAAAATGAATTAATATTTAGATTATTTCATGCATATTTATACAAGCAAAAGCAAATATTGTAATCTACTAGGAATGTGTTAGTGGTTTAAGCGTTGTATGCTTTTCAGCTAAGCGGGAGATCTACGTCATATTCCTGGTCGACAACCCCCTAAATATTGAGAGATCATTGTTGAATATATGTCCACTTAAAGCATATGTATTCAACACTGGCCACTCAATATGCAAGGAAAATTCATTCAAAGTTATCTGTAAAGTAAAAAGAAGCCCTCCGAAAAGGCGAGCCCCCGTATACTGTACATCGTCCAGGCCTTACTGATTCGGATGGAAAACGCTGATTTACGTACATCTCTAAATCACACCTAGCTGACAGCTGGCCAGAAAAAAATGTGGATAGTACACGAAAAAGGAAACCTTGAGTACATTTTTACGAACAACCACCAAGATGGTTGTCGAAAAGAGAATATAGAACAGTAGTAATAATAATATTAATAATCGCTTTATTCTGAATAGTGATCGTATAATATACAGAGGTTTCAGTGGATATTATTGCACAGTAGGTTCCCTTTCAACAAGATCTTTAAGCAACATAGTAACCATCGACAGAAAATTGCGTAACACGCCCCTGTCTGACCTCGAACGAAAATCAATCCCTTATGATATTTCTTCTTTGCACTATATTTGGTTGAGAGTTGATTAAAAATATGTGTAGGAGTACAAGGGTATTACAGTACCAGAATAATTAAAGACTACAGAGAAAACACCGAAAATGCCAAATAATTTCTAGAAGCCAAGTTAGTACTCCAATACATCAGTGATTACCAACTAATAAAAAACAAATCACATGAGAAGAAAGTCAAAATTCTAAGTCAAAGTTGACAACGAATCAAGACAAATGTTGTCACGGGATAGAATTATATCATTCATGGAAAATTCAGATAAGTTCATCCCACATTGAAGCTTCCAGTGAAAATGTTGTCTAGACGGAGGACAACAAAAGCTTTGCAATTAAACCAGTGAGCTTAGAGAACACAACTAAATCAACTAGAATCTCCGAGTTACAAAGAGTAACTACATTCGCACCATTGGAAAGAATTCTCAGCCATGTCATCAATAGTCTGCAATCATTGGCTGACTCAATCGTGAGGATTCTAAACAGACTGTCTACATCTCCCTATATGTCTGGCTCAATCAAATTATCAAAGACTTCGTAGAATGATGCCAGGTTTTTGTTTGACCACGCCTAAATGTGTTCATAAACCAAGCCCTAACCTTCCAATAGGACTAAATGATTTATCTACACTCCAGATTATCTGTTTACATTTCTAGTGGATTCCGACTCACAATTGTATGGAAAATCATTACTCGCTGCGATGGGGGGGGTGGAGCGAGGGGCATGAATAAGACACGACATGCTCCAATATTTCTCTCCTAGCAACTCATAAACAATTGTGAATTAAGTCAATTATTTAAAAAATAAAAATAAAGCATCCTACCTCGAGTATTTTGTCACGATAATATTCCAGCTGTTTTATGCGTTGATTCATTCGACGTAAAAGAATAGCATAGGCATTTTTGAGCATTTCAGCACGATGACAATATGTCTGTTGTTCAGCTGTAGTAAGTATATCTGTATGATTAATCGTCACACTATCAGTGAAATTGTTGTCGTCACAAGTATCAGCATTACTACTATTACTATTGTTATTATTATCATCATACATCCGGTTATTCAATAGTTGATGATTATTCACAAAGGCTGTACAATTAGACGGTGATGATTCCACCGTGGAAGGAATGGCTGACGGTAAAGGAACAGTGTTAACAATAAACGTTTCGTGTCCACTTTCATTGTTAATCAAATCAGCAGACACAATGGATTCAGTTATGCTTTGATAAGTCTTTAAGCATATTGAAATTCTCTCCTCTTTATCTTTAATTTGCATAAGCTTTTCCTTAAAATAGAAAGCAAAAAGAAGGTAAGCAATACTGTCAAACATTTGGTTCCCTTGAAAAAATTTCAACAAATAAAGAAGGACCAAACAATTGGCAGTATAGAATGTGATATCATCAGTCGATTTCACAGGTTTCCATCACCTACTGCAAACTACCTGAAATTACAATGTCTATGAATACAATGACACTAAGGTACTTCAATGTTTGTGAATGGTAGTAGTAGAGTAAAAATCATAAAATCAAGGCGTCCGAAATGCAGGTAGTACAATTTTTAGTTTAAGTTACCATCAATTTATATGCCTTTGAGAGTAGAAAACAAGTGGTGGGGAGAGGCGAGGACAGAAAACAGAAAAATCTGATCTTTATTTGCCTTCAATTCAAACGAAAAGGAGAATCCCAAAGAATTCAACAAAGGAATAAAATGGAGCAGTGAAAAGATGCTTCTCTGTGTACCTAAACTCGTATCATTATGCAGCTCCTTATGCTCACTTAATAAGCCAATTTAAACTGGGGTAAGTACTCTGCTGATATCACCACCAAATGCGTTTATAAATTTACTTTGACAGGACAGAAAGAAGAGCTTCCATGCTGTTTCCAGAACAGACATATGCAAAATGGATTCGAACCCCGAAAGGTGCGAACTGATGAAGAGTCCCTGACTAGGCTGGCGAAACAGCTGTCCAGTACTCCCATGTTTTCTAATGGTTCTCTTACTGATGCCAGCTCATGATAGAATCCTCTAACCAATCAAACAAAATCCCTACAAAACCAATCCTTCAAAATGTAATTACCAGGCACCATGTAGGTACAAATCATTTCATCAAGATTTCTAAATCCTTCAAAATATTAAACATACAAAGGACAGTAAATTTCCTATAATTGCTGAAGCAACTGTAAACAATGGTTTCAGACCAAACCAATGCATAGCAAAAGAGAGTGTAATCAATCTCTCACTCCCTTGGTAACTGCATTTTCATCTTGATTACACTGATTAGTCAAATCCATACTAGTGATTTCAGCTCACTGAGCAAGTTTCCAATTGTATGAGCTATAACCTTCTTGGAGTTGCTGTGTGAACTTATAAGCTGACATTGTTTATTATATATGTTCTGTCTTCTCCTTTTTCCACCACACGTTTTCGACTTTCAAATGTTTATAAACTGATGGTGACTTAAACCAAAAATTGTAGTTTTTTGCATTTCGAACGCCCTCATTTCATGATATTTTCTGTACCACCATTCACAAATATCGAGGTGTGTTTATTCTCTTTATTTATAATCATTCTTACATCCAACAGTAGTACTTTCTAACCACTCATTCATTTGGCACTGAGGTTAACAACAGTTCACCCATTTTGACTCACCTCATGCAGTCAAACGAGTTGGAGACAGTGACATATGGGCTTCTATCCATGAGTTCATTTGAGTCGGTGCATTTAAAAACAGCCCACAGGTATGTCATTGACAGTTTCCTTAAACCAATTAGAAAAGAATCGCATTTCTCATTCTCTTTTGAGTAAGCTATGTGAAATGAATTACATTCTTTACTCGAGAAACTGCACTACCAATAAAACTATTCATTCATGCTTCAAATGTTTACAGCCTTCATGGAGTGATTAAAAGGTCTTTACTTTTCCTAATGAATATCATTTCAGTACATCTGTGACACATTGCCATGAATACAGTCAAGAGCCTTTTAGTCAGTACACAAATTTTCAAACGTATAATCAAAGCCCCGTAAAAATAGGTTTCCCACCTCCGTGAAGGTGACATAGAGCAATTATTAAAATTTTCACTAGTCCAGAAAAAATAAAATCGTCTTCAAATAACTGAACTAAAAACATTTAACCATTTATAAAAATCCTACGAAGCCAGTAATCTTTAAATTATATTATATAATGTTAAAAAAACTTGCTGGACTTCATCATGAGCTGACATAGGTTAGAGAACCGTTGGAAATCCATCAGCTAGTACTGGACTGGTGTTTGAGGCTCTTCAGCAATGCGTACCCACCCACCCACTAGCAGGGTTCCAACCCAGGACGTCCTGATTACAACGCAATGAGCTCGTAGACCATTAAGCAACCACTGGGATCCGATTCAATGGCCAGTCGATGAATTCCAACTTCTTCCAATTCAGGATGTAGCGCTGCTAGCACTAACCAGTGTAATCCATGGGGAGTATTTGTCGTCACACCCGCCCTACCTGCTGTATCTCACTGATCACGGTTTGTCAGCTAACCGATGTCAGCAGCTCATGATAAAATCCCTGCAAAACCAACAATTGCAAAGAAGAACAACTTACTCTTGATAGGTCAATTCTCTCTTCTAATTCTTGAAAAACTTTCTCTACTAAATTACGATCATCCGGAGTATCAGTTGCACAACCAATAGAATTGTAACAAATAGAAAGCAAATCATCTGGAGTCTCTGACATCAATAAACTTTCATCATTTGTAATTGACAAGGACATACTTTCATCTAATATGCTTGGAAATAGTTTACAAATACTCTGGACCAGAGCTCTATCTGATATCATGTATTCGTGTAATCTATGCATCTCTGATTGGATCCAGTTTTCTTCTTGTTCAAATTCATAATGTCTCACGCCAGTATTAAATGTTTCCAAAGAATGTCCTAACTGCACACACAAGCACTGTAAGCCTTTATCAACCTAAAAACAAAAGAGTGAAATGATAATACATAAGAGAATGCATAATTGGTTCACATATATGTATGTATATATATCCACAATGATATAAACAATTCATACAGTTTATATCGTTTATTTCGTATAACGTTTCACTCGAGACATAACTGAAAGTTGTTCTGACAAAAGAAAAATAATGGAATTCATGAGGGTAAATAAACCACCAGTGCATCCATGTATCATTACTATTAATTACTACAATTGTTTCCTTGAATGGCATGTGTTGGATAGAGTTACATATCTCCACTTTGTTCTGTGTCCTGGTCCCAAGATTCCTTATAGTCTTCTATTTCCTACTCCCAAGATCTCCTTCATGTCACTCTCGGACTAACGCCCAACTCGTTGCTTCCCACTCACAGCTTCTACTCAAGTGATGAACTGGTGAGAAATGTGATTCCACGGTCTCTTCATTGTCTGTCTGTTCCATCTCAATTTCCTTCAGAATATTTGTTGAGCAGTAGGTTCTTGGTGGGTTCATACCTAGAGTTTCTTGTCAGTGAAACTTTTCGGCTGGCTGTTTGATCTTCAGTATGCAGACAGAGAAGGCAGTTGTTGATAAACGTCTGCAGCCATCTGTTGTAAATGCTTTTTGTGATGTCAGTACCACGTTTCTGACGCATATAGAGGAAGAACTGACCAAATGGTCGGTCGGTCGATTTTCGACACAGAACTTTGCACATATGTGCGGCAGTTCAAGTCGCCACACTCCAACTGACTTAGCATTGGTGTTGAAAATGCGAACCTTGTTTTTCATACGGCGGGGTGTAGAAGATTTTCAAACTCATTTTAGAGTGACGAATATCTGTATCGTCTTTGCACTTCTCTTTTTGACATCTTCATGCTTCATGCCTGCAGTTGACAAGATGGTGACTAAATAGGTGAAGGAAGTAACCTCTTTCAAATTCTTCTCTTTGGTAGTGATTGGTGCTGGTTGTGTTTGCTGTTGGTCGATTGGTTATCTTCATCACCTCTGTCTTCTTAGTGTTCACTTGAAGCACTGTCTTTGCTACCTTCTTCTTGCACAAACTTGTTGGTTTTCACTTGCAAGTTTTCCAGTTTGTGCGGCACTAAACAGAAATCGTCCGCGAAATCCGAATCCACCATAGTCTTCATGCCGCTAAAACATATTAACGTCTTCTCCCTCCCGAAGCACAGTCCTACGTGGAGTCCATCCCACCACAATCAGGAATATCATCAGTAATAGTATTTAGCCATGTCCAAATGCTGTATTCATTTCAAAAGATTCTCTGTATTTCCGTTGTGGATAACTCGACAGGTGTCTGTTTGCTGTCTTTGTAGCGTTCTGTGACTGTGCATCTGTCAAGAAAGTTTTGGATAAGTAATATAGTTGAGCTCAAAGACCGGTTCTCTGCGTTCAGACCACAATGAATCGATTCTGCTGGTTACGAACATAACGATTGTAAAACTTATTGAGCATACTAAAAGGTACTTCCACAAATGGAGTAAATGCTAAACATTTCCCTGAGAATACAACAACCATCTCCTGAAACATCTTCAATAGGCTGGTGGTTCTATCGACTCACATGAATCGTAGAAAAGAAAAGAAAGCCAAGTGGGCTGCATTATCTTGCTGAAAAGAGACCTCACATTTCCCAATACACATAATCTTGTTTTTAGGCTTTTTTTTCACTTACTCATATAAGAAGATAGAAACAAATTTCATTAAGTGATTTGGTGAAACAATGAATATTAGAATAATCCAGCTGAAAAGGAATTAATCCCAACTTGTAATTATGAAAATGAAAAAGATTATCTCCCTTTTAGTCAGAATAATAATGAGGAAGAGAATTCAGAGAAAAACCAGTAAGTTATTGATAAATTATTCTGTGGATTCATTAAGTACCATTGAACATATATTCAATTCTTCAAGAAAAGTATATTAAGTTCAATCTGATTCAAAACAATAAACAAGTGTCGTGTGTTTACGTAAAACAGTTCAACTCAGGTTGTGTATGAATTAATTGCCTAAAACTAAAGTGTTGTGCGATGAATATATCAGCATAGTCATTATGAAAATGTCAGCTTAAAGCTTATCAGTGATTTGTATGGAGAAGGCGAAGTCACAAAGAAGTCTCCTTCCTCCAGATATAACTGTGTAAGACCGGTGAGAGCATGTGATGACATGGAGAGAATACATCTCCGCGATTGCTAACGATTTCACGCCATTTCTCCAGCTTTCACCAACGGGCGATGGTCTGGTACGACGTCATCCAATCCATCTCAATTCGCTTCAATATACCTGTTGAGCAATAGGTTTCTGTTTGCTTCTTTCCCAGAATTTCTTGTTGCGAGACCTTACTGACTAGTTAGCTTGGGTCTGAGGGTAACTTATAGGGGACTATATGAAAGGGAGATGAAAAACTATGGGCTATCTTGAGGTCAGTTGAAGAGGACCGCAGAGAAACGACTGAAATGGAGATAATCTGTTTTGAAGTCATATGTTCCACTAGGAAACCAAGGGAGTAGTAGCAAACAGTGGAATCCGTATGCTGGTTGTCTGTTTCTTTGCTAAATGATATTGTGATTGCCATTAACTGCAGCCTACTTTATTCTCAGGATTCGGTAGGTGTTTAGCAAGTATGCGAATTTTTTAATCGTGATTAGTTAACTAATGTTACTCTCTTTCCCCCACCCAATATATAAAAGGATATGAGCAGCCTGATAATGTGCTTCTCATTTAGAGTTATTCTTGACTCTTAGTTCTCCGTATTTCTAAATGTCATTTCTGTTACCTGTTAAGCTGAATTCATTAACAAGTCTAATTAAGAACTTATACGAATATATTGGCAGCTTGTGGTAATGACGGGTTAAATTTTAATTCAACTAACCATTCGATACTCTCTTACACTGTTACTAAGGCTTCAATGATGGATGGTATTGCTTCATTTTTTAAAAGAAATATCAACGAGAATCTCTACCTTCTAGATGTTAGAAAAGCAGGACTTCTGGAAAATGCTATCTGACATCAAAGATATGGCTACTGAGGTTAAACGATTTAGTTTTCCTTTTATTCCTACTTTGGTATGTAACGAACAATTAACTGACTGTCGATTATATTTATGGTTTATATGACAAAGTCAAAGTGTATACAAAAGTCTACCCCTCTCTATATTGCTCAAATCAACAATCAAGACTTAGTGCATCAATGCAATGTAATCGTTTTGACTATCTCTAATTCTTCAGCACATGAATCGTACATATTACCACTTCAAGAAAGGCCATGGCTTGGTATGCCTGACACCTGTCCTAGACGACTAAATGAATGCAGATTCACAATCTCATTGACTGACTTCCTTTGCTTATCTGACACTCTACATCTATCCTTAGTTATTATTTAACTGTATTAAGTAAATTCAAACATCTTTTAAATCTTTTCTGCCTTACTTTCTAGTCAGAGGGAGAAGATATAACATATGGCTACACCAATTAATATGTTGAATATCGTTTTTATCCTCATGATGACATCATCTAAAGAATAATGACTACTACTTAAATCGCTTCCAGATAGTTCTGATATTAATTTATACAAACTTATTTGGTGATACGAAATTACTATAATATTATTGTACCCTTGGGTTCCAAGTGGAAGATATGATGGCTTCAGCAGAACTTTTTCGTTGTTTTTCCAGTATCGTCTTCATCTAAGCACACGGTGGGCCACAAGCTTTCATCTCCTACTCACATGATCTCCTTCATGTCACTTTCCGTCTCACACCCAACACGTTGTTCCCCTCTCGGGTTCCACTCCACTGATAGTCTAGCGTATGATGTCACCCAATGGTCTTTTTAGAGTCTGTCCAGCCCGTCTCCATTTTATTCCCAATATTTTAGTCTATGGTCATTTCCAGAATTTCTTGTAGCTAATTCTTTCTGGCCAGCCAGCTGTCCACCTGATCTTCATTATGGAGCCGGTGAAGGTGGAAGCTATACCCCAAAATGTGTGCAGCCACCCGTTGGAAATGCTTTCCATGATGCGCATGTCAAATTTATGACATATATGGAAGAATTGAATGACTAAACATTTGTTTTGAAAATCCAAATGTGGTTCCTTAAGCTGAGGAATGCAAGTGATTTCAGCACTGATTTTAGGGTGATAAAGGTCTGTCTTGCCTTCCCGATTCTCATTTCGACATCGTAATCTGTGCTGTCGGCTGTAGGGGAAGCGATGCTACCCTGTCAGATAAGTGAAGGAAGTAACCTCTTCCAAATTTCTTCCCGTTATAGTGATTGTGGCTTGTTGTTGGCTGTGACTGGCTGGTTATCTTCATTACCTTCGTCTTTTCTATGTTCACCTGAAGTGCTGTCTACGTTCCCTGCTTCTTCTGCCGGTTTGTTGGTTTTCTCCTGAAAATCTTCGAGTTTGGGTGACACTAGATATAAATTAGCCACGTAGGCCAGGTCTTCCATAGTATTCTTAACAGCCTATCGTATTTCTGTCTTCTCGCTCTCCACATACGGTGTGCCGCATAATCCAGTCAACCACATTCAGAAATATCATCGTGGGTGATAGTTGGCAGACAGCCTTGTCTTACTCCATTCTGTCTTCATTTCAATGGTTCCAGTGAGTTCTTCGTCATGGATTATTAGCTGATATGTAGCCTTGTCGTATGTCTGTTAGAAAATAATGACTGCTGCACCTAAGCCTCTCACAGATAGTTCTGATGTTCACAAAAAATCAATAAATAACAAGAAAGTCAAAGTACATTATTTTAAAGATTGTTTTTCAACTCCAGATATTACACTGACCCTTGTTAAAACGACTACAGTGTTTGGCGATTAGAGTTCTAGCTTCCTTTGAGATCCTGAAGAAAAATGCGCTACTAGACTAAGATATTCTTCTGCAAAACTGTGATGGAGAAAGAACACAATTTTCAAATTATACACAAAACTCTATAAATGTGCGAATTCACCGATTGATCATGCAGGAATGACTCCTGTCATAAATTTAGTCCTTGGCGGTAATTTCGACTAGATCACTGTTACCGCCTAAGACTAATCAGCAGGGCGTATCTACCACTATAAATGAATCAGGCTGTTTTCCAACATGCGTCACATAAATGCTACAGTCAAATAGTATTACCATTGAGCTATTTTTAATCCAAATTATAGGGAAATATATCATACACAATATACATATATGAGAATGTCTAATGAATGATCACATTTAAACTGAGAGAAAATGAAATACAATTTGTGCATAAGACTTACTTTATGCCATAGATGTATAATCTGTTTATATTGCATTATAAGTTGACTACGATAGTCTTTATGACAGTAAACAGAAATTTCATCAAGACGATCATCTGGTATTGTCCTGAAGTCATTCTTGAATTCAGTGTTAACATTCTGTAAAAGTATCTTTTTCATTATCCTTTGTAATTCAATGAACATTGACTGGTATGTTTGTTGCTGTTCAGTATACAGTTTAAAGCAGAGATTTAATTGAGATTTGCACGGAAGATCTCTAGAAGTGGTTGAACACTCCTCAGTTTCCCGACGCGATGACTTCTCAGTAATATTTAGCATAATCTGTAGTATTGTTTTATCTTGAATATTATCATTATTATTATCGTCATTAGTATTGAGATTATGACCATACTCATATTGTTGACTGATTTGATGTAAGGCTTCAATTAACCACGACTTTAGGTGTGTATAATTTGTTGTCAAATCAGTGGCGATTTCTCTTGCCATCTACAATTTCAATAAACATAAGAAAATGCAAACAAAACATACATATAGTTATATAAATGGAATATCAGACTGTATATAAACATATACGCGGTAACGCGATAGTAACTAAGCAGTTAAGTATATAAGTGTAGAAAAAACATGACACAAATATTTGAATCGAAGGACTAAAAACGAATCGAGAGACCTCAGATGATAGCCTCATGTCACTATCACAGAAAGTTTAGAAGGAAGGAAAAGCACCTACTGATTGGAAGAAAAAAAGCCTTTAATAATAATAATAATAATAATAATCACTTTATTCCACAACAATAACAATTTACAGCATGGAATTTTAAGCGTTTCATTTTACATATTGCATTGGTTTAGCTCTTTTTATAATTATATAAATGTATAAAATTTTTAAAAATAGTAATAGTTAATAGGAAAAATAAAAACCCCAACAAAATACACCATTTCTAGGTCGTAGTGAATAATAAATAAATAATATAACAAATCACACATGCAATAATATACATCATTACATTTTTTAGTTTAGTTAATGATTTAGAAGTTGTAAAAGTTCTTTTCTGATATTCGTCTCTTCACACAATACTCGTGCCAAATATGGTACGGTCGAATTTTTATATTTTGTAGTACGAGCATAAATGTTTATGAAATTTCTTCTGGTCTTACCCGAAGAGATACAAGGAAACAAATGTGAATAAAGAGGATGTTCACTATCAGACAAAATAACTTTAGCTAAGTGTTTACAAGAATTCATGTGCTTATTGACAACAGTGTCGGTTAGTTGAGTCAAAGGGATAGCACTGACCCTACTTAC